CCTCCACTGCCGCCTCCAGCTCCTCCTCCTCTTCTCCTTCCTCCTTCTCCCCCTCGGGGGAGGGCCGCCGGGGCACGGTGCTGGTAGACGGCAGGAACGTGAGCAGCGCCAGCAGCTCGGATGATGACGACGATGTTATCGAGGTGAGGGGACAGTGACAGACCAATGATTGAGCGTTATTTAAAAATGATTGAAATAAGATCAAGTCCTCCGGGAGGAAGGTGTAAAAGGGCTTGTGCCGTGAGGGAAATGGACAAAAAATGAAAAGAAATTGAAGTGATGACAGATGAGTGTTTCCCCTGTTTGCCTTGGAGAAACGGCCTGAATAGGGATTGAACACAGACTGGACACAGAGCGACAAATCTTAATGCTGACTATCAGAAGATAAAACCTGAGGAAGAAAATGAAAACCAAGTGGACTTTGGGCTTCCAAGTTTTGTCCATTACTGGCATTTAAAACAAATCACTGGACTGAACTGCTGATTGTGGGCCTGCAGTGGGTGTAGTGACTTTAGAGAATCTAGTTCTGCAGCTTTGCTAAATGTCAAAACTCTTTCGCTTTTTTCAGCTTGTTAAAAAGATGATGGTAGGATGCAGTCGCTTACGTAAAAAAAAAGTTTGATTATTGGTAGTAACGTTCGTTAAATATCAGTAACTTAATTGGTAGTGTTTGTTTCAGTTGTTGAATATTGCTACTGAATATTTCTTCAAATGGTAAAAAAGGTAAAAAAGATCACAGAAATGTAAAGAGCATTTTTGATTGAATTGAATAATTCACTGCCAGGTTAAGGGTATTGTACAGTTGAACAAAAGAAAAGAAAAGAGAGCATCTTGAAGTATCAAAAAGGCTTGTTGAGGATGAGGTGGGAGACATTTACTGAAACCTTAAAACTCGATTGAACGAATGTATGCTAAATCAAATGCCTTTAAACCAGGCCTTTTTTTGAAAAGTCTTCTATTTAGGCTTCAGACGTGGGAAGATCTGATTTTCTTTTTTATATTGATGTAATCTCTTTTACTTTTTAGAGAAAAACATTGCCTAAAAACAGCCAGGTGAAAATACGGGGGGGGGGGGGGGGGGAATAACTGTGTTGTTGTGAGGTGTCCTCCTCGTAGCGGAGAAACCACCAACAGAAAATGCCTTTCTGCCTCCATCTTTCTGAATGTCAACTGTGAGAGAGGAGAGGTGAAGAGAGACGGACGGCCACTGCGGCTCTCTGAATCTCACCCACAGTCTTACTGTAGCCTAGCGAAAAGCGATGCAAAACACTCACTCAAGCCTATAAATGTATACGTACGAACCCCCCGAGGAATTAACCCTGAGATTTGGTTACGCTTGTGTCGTTACTGTGTTCGTATCTGTGCGTTGTGTTCTTAAGGGTTACAAAAGGAATCGTTTAAACAAAATAGAAGCTTGTGTTACCTGTTCTTTCTGTCTCATCTCATTCAACATTGTGAAACCAAACTTCTTTTTATTTGTTGGGGGAGACGATGTAGCTTTGCCAAAAACAAGAGCACATCGTAGACCTCCATCGAGGAGGATTGTGTCTTAAAAGACCAAATAATGTCACCTACAGCATCCTCACGAAGCACAGTGGAGACGTCCATATCCATCTCTCTGTATGACCTTGCAGGTATCACTGTACACTGTACTGCACTGTTATAGAGACACAAATATGTATGCGTCTGTAGAAAAGCTGCGAAAGCTTCAGCATGTGACCAAGTTCCCCCTAGATTACCCATGAAGCATCTCTCTGATCCCCTCTGATCACACAAACGGATCGGCTACGGTCTGCACTGTCCTTATGTGGAAAAATCTTCTCCTCAAAAAACGGCTGCAGCGAAGAGCTTTAAAACCCACCAGCTCTTTTTGTGACATCGTCAAGTAAAGACATCAGCATTTCATCCTCTTCATCTTCCATGTTTTAGTTTACTTGTTTTTTTTTCGTGCTGTTTGAATTAACCAAATTTATTTATTTATGATGGTGCATATTTATTCATTTTTTGTACATTGTTTTTTTGCTCTTCTTTATCTTGTTTTTACAGTCATATTACTTTTTGTTGTTACTACAGATGGAAACACTTTGGTTTCTGGTGATTTTTATTTTTGTCTTTGGGTGTCAATCTGCGAGTCTGACCCAGAACATGTGAACTTGTGCAGAACCTGCGTGCGGACCAACCAATAAGTGCATTACTGTACGCATTATAGGTCAGGATAACTGTGATCAGACCTTCATTACGGTAAACCCAACAGAAGAACATCAGGGATACATTGGTATTACTAAGCTGTGTTAAAAACCTTTTTTTCTCGATTCTATGAGCTAGGATTCTTCGTGAGAATATCAAGCTTCTCAACAATTGGGGTCAAAATCTTAAATATTTAATATTAAGAGCCATTTGTGCATGTAAATGAAGCTCATTCACACGTTATGGGTCAGAAACAGAAGCAGTCCAACCACTTATCATCTGAGAGGACAAGAAAAAAATGATATCAGTTCATTTTCTTTACTTTTTTTTGTTGTACGGTCCATTACTATTATCATCAGAAATGTCCATGGTGACATCCGAGGCGAGTTTCCTCCCTGTTGAACTGTTGTCAGCTCTGTGTCTGCCGCGCCGACTGACTGCTCTTTTATTTCACCGCTTTCTACTTGAATTTACATATTTATTTATACAAATCGATTCGGTAAGACGAGTGGAGCCGACCGTCTCAATTCCATTTTAGCCGAGGAGAAGATTAAAGCTGCTGTCTTTGAGGATTGGCTCTAGTCAAAGCCTGTTGTGTCGTTTATCAATGGATCATGTGTATGACCTTGGATTACTTTTAGATCCTTTTTTTTGGTTTTTGAAGTTTGTAAATAAAAGAAACATGTTCTAAATAACACTTGTCCTTATTTCTTTACATCAATTTCAGGAGCAGGCGTAGTGCATATATACCCCCTTTGTGTTCCCCATACACACAGAACATTAAGTCTTTTCTCTTTTTCACATGTTTGGGTTTAGTACTGACAAAACAAGACATTTAAAGAACTCATCTTAGACTTTGAGAAATGGGATAGACCTTTTATATTTTCATGACACTAACCAAATTACTTATGGCTCATGAGATCATTTTTATAAAAAAGCTTTTATAAAATAAAGTTAGAAGGGGGATTCTACCGCAGAAACTACTTTAGATTATTATATCCCAACAAGTTAGAAATAACTTTCTTGTTGCCTTCTCCATAGTGTCATTGTTTTTGGCAGTATATATGATTAAGATCAATGGAACGTAACATTAACAGTTCAATCTGGGTTGGGGTTTGTACTGATCCGCTTTTAATCTCGTAATTTAAAAAATGTTGCTCAAGCAGATGTTTTTATAAAAAGTGAAGACATCAAATTGAATTCCTAAAATTGTAATAAAGACATGAAATCAACAAATTTGTCTCCTGAACAATTGAGTTAATCCGAAAGTTTGCAGACTTTATTTTGCAGGTAACTTGAGTTCTTGGTTTGTTGCTGGTATCAGTTAATTCCAAACACCAAAACAGGACTAACAGTTAAGTATACCGTACACCAGATACAGTAACACCAGGGGCGGCCCTTGGCATAGGCAGTATAGGCGAATGCCCAACCCATCGGGGGCGCCGAAAATTGGGGAGAAAAAGAAAGTTATGAAAAAAATATTTTTTTTGAAACTTCATAAGAACACAATTTCCCAATTTTGGATCAACAAAGTACATCTTATTATTTTATACTAACAGAACTACGCCTATATTGCGTACAGCGCCCATAAACTATGGCACACCCCCCAAAATCAAGTTGAACTGCCCCAGCCCCAGTAAAAGAGGTTTATGTGAAATTAGCTAAAATCTTGTCTAGGGCAGCAAATTGGTCAGGGCCGGCCCTGAGTAACACGTTTCAAATGTCACAATAATCAAAATAAGTTTCTTATGATATTTTCCTGCACACAGAAGGGGATCTCATGTCACAGACAAATAGCCCACTAGTTGATTTGCATGATTATTCAATTACAGAACATGCACTATCTGTTATGGATGTGTATGTACAACACCTGTGCTTTTCATTATATTTCATTTGACCCTTTACACTTTTGTGCAAATGTACCATATGCAACGGCCCCTCATATGCAATTAATGTAAATTGCAAAAGTCACACCAGAACTAGGATTTTGAAACAGAAATATGCTTCCTAATCAAATGTATAGTGTAAGCCAGAGAACTTGTTTTTTCTGATCCTTCTAACATTACTTGACCCTGCTTTTTGCTTACTACTTGTCTGTTTTGGTTGCCTTTCTGACTGTTTAACTTTGTACTGGACTCAGTTCGGTGAAGTTGTTTTAATCCTCAGCCTTTGTCTCTGTTGCATTCTTTGCCTGTTTAGAACAGTTGTTACAAAAAGTATTGGATTTGTTCTAAATCCTTACCAGAAGGAGACTATTATTAATGTGTACAGTGATAAGCTACACTGTGTAGCCTACATTAGTGAAGTTAAAGAATATTTCCCACAAAAATAATCAACCAAATTATGAAAAGATATTTCCCCCTAACTTGTTGGCGAATTATAACCAACAGAAGACCATCAATTACCATACATTGTTTTGTCATTAAAACAAATATGTTATATATGATAGCTCAGTGTCTCCCTTACAACGGCTGTGAAGATACTTTGATTTGTTTATGAGTTATTGATTGACCGTCAAGACAAAATCCGGTAGTAACTGTCTAACTTTACCGAACTGAGTTAATGTAATTTGGCTGCATTCCACCAAAGGCAACTAAAGGTTATGATTATTCACACTCATGTTATAAGAGTTTTTCGAAAAGCACAATTCAAAGTCATCGATTGACTATTTTTTAACCCAGCGCAACGTATTTTGTGGTGTCAAACTGAGACGAAACCTACATAGATGCGTCGTTTGTTGAAAACTCGGTTTCCCAGAGTTCTCTGCTGTTACGTGACTTGACGTTTTTTTCACCGATTGTTGATGACGATGGCAGACACAGCGCAGGTTAGTAGCTGAACGGTGTACTGGGAGGAGTGCCTGCCAAGATAAAATAATTTTCTCCGACGACTTGCTCTGAAAACACGGAGAAACAACAAACGAGTGAAACAAAGCGTATATTAAAGCCCGGGAAATATACCCGTTTTGACGCTGTTTCAGGAGCGCCTCTCACATTGTTTTGAAGGCCTGTTGCTAGCTGCGGGGGATCCTCGGGCTAGCCCTGTAGACACCGGGCCGAGAGAGCGCAAGAGACCGGGACAGGAGCTCCGCGGGATAACGACCAGGTTTGACTGACCCTGCCAGTCTTATCTTATAACACAAAGAAGACGTAACCTCTCCTGCTCCGGGTGTCGGATATATACAGCGAAACTCCAGGCGCTCTCAGTTTGACAGCTAGCTAACATTAGCTCTGCTCTGTTTACAAGCTAGCCCAGCCCAGACAGTCTGGAGAAGTTGGCTCTTAGGTGTATTTGTTTCTGTTAGGATTTGCGTACTTGGGTCCTTCCGCCTTCATGCTAGCTGGTGGTGATTTGTAACCTTGTTGTACTTCTATGTACGCGGACTGAAGGTCGCCAGCCAGGCAGCTTGATCAAAAGGTCTCCTAGTTAAGGTTATCACATCTTATCTACTGCTGCCCAAAGTTTGTTAGTCGTTCGAAGAGAAGGAATAGTCCTACTGAGCTGATCATCCACGCTATCTCTGACCAGTTGAAAGACAGTATCCCGGATGAAGGCTCACAGAGAAGTGTGGATTTTGATGCTGTCAGGACCTACAGGTGTCACCTGTTCTTCTTGGCATTATTAATCTCACACCGACATCTGCTCCACCAGAAGCCACTGATCTGCTGCTCCGCTCCCTTGGGCAGATTTGCTCAAGAAGGATCCTCATCAAAAGAGACCACAATGAATCGTTACCTGCCGGTGGCCCGACAGCACTTCCTGGCTGCCCTTGCCAGCACCAGTGTGGTGGTGAAGAGTATAAGTGCTGTGGTGGTTCTCCTCTACCTACTGTCATGGGCTGTGGACACTCCATACGCACTGGGGGTGACACCAGGTTACCTCTTTCCACCCAACTTCTGGGTGTGGACACTGTTGACCCATGGGGTGGTGGAGCAGCACATCTGGGGTGTGGCAGTGAATGTGGGGACAGTGATGACCTGTGGGCGCCTGCTGGAGCCTCTCTGGGGCGCTCTGGAGCTCCTGATCTTTTTCGCAGTGGTTAACGTCTCTGCAGGCCTCCTGGCCGGCCTCGCCTACCTCCTCACATATGTTGCCACCTTTGACCTCACTTACCTGTTTGCTGTGCGGGCCTACGGAGCAGCCGGGTTCCTGGGAGGAGTGCTGGTGGCGCTGAAGCAGACCATGGGAGACACTACAGTGCTCAGAGTGCCACAGGTGAGCATAACACACACTGAAAGTCATTTCTGCTCTGCATGCTTATTTGACAGCCTCTTACTAACACTTTGGTGAAAACCCTAAAAGGATACTAGATACACAACAACACTACAAACTGCAGCAGTAAGAAAGACAACAAAGACATTTATATTTACTGCAGGACTTCTCTACAAAATATTTTTACATTTCTTTGTGCCTGTTTCAGTGGGATGACTTCCCAGTTTCATGAATTGGGATTTTATGCTGTGACCTATTTTTGTTTGGTTTATTCTTGTCACATAGTATACCACACTTGCTTCGTTTAGTTTGTTTTATGACAGTGTGATATTGTTAGTAATGGCTGTAATCGTTTTATGAACGAACACACGTTAAAATGATTGCCATCCTCTTGTATTAAAGCCATAAAGGCCAGTGGTTTTTAGATCGCTCAGTGCCTAGTCTGTGATTCTCTTCCAAATTTGGGCTACGGTGTGATCTGTTCATTTACATTTAAAGATTATATCTGATACTCTTCTGCAAGGCAGCTTACACTTAATGTCCCGATAAGGGCTTAGTGTTTTGCTGAAGCACACATTAGCTACACATTCTGAATGTGTTTCTAAACCAGGCAATTTATGGTGCTTTTTATGAGTTTATATTGCACTAGGTTACTTTACTGTAATGTGTAGACAATGAAACTGCCACCGGGGCACCATAGAGAATCTTACACAAGAATATGATTACATTTCCTGCAAAAAATCCATGTGCCCTCTTGTTTGCCAATCCCACCTACACGTGTCCCCAATATGTACTGTACATAATCACCAGGTGCTCCAAACCGCCTTCAAAGTAAAGCATAAACAACTACTTCAAGTAACTTCAATAATTACACTAAATATAAGGTACATTTACAATAAACTAAAACAGCCAGAAAATAAATGTTTAACTATTAAATAAATCAACAGCAGTAGGGCTGCACAATTAATGAAACTTAAATCAAAATGGCAATATCGACTTGTGCTGTATCCAAATGGCAGTAAGTTCTTATTTTGGATGGAAACATTTAAAAATATTTAAATAAAGTATTGTGGTGATGCATTAAGTCCCGACCTACAAATGCCATTTTTTAGACTTAATAAAATCCTTTTTCGTTGGAGATCTTCTTACAAAATCACACCATAATCCTTTTAGTATATATTTGTAATGATTATGTGGGTAATGGTTTTTAAATGATCATTCCCTCTAATGTCGGGAATCATATCTCAATATCGGTCAAAGTTATAGTTTTTTTTCTCCAACTTGTGAAAGCCTTCCTTTTTAAAATCCCTCATTTCAGTAAAGCACGTTTGGAACTGTATCAAAACAAACCCTGGTACATTTGGACTCGCCTGCCACCCTGGCGTGTAACCAGCTATTGTTTGGTGTTCCACTTCCTCAATCCTGCTGACCTCAGTGAATTGTGGGAACTGGCAGCCACGGTGTTCTGTGGACCCAATAGTATCTCTCCCTGTGCCCGATGGTTTCTGTTCACAGGACCTAAACTCTGTCTCCCCCTCTCCTCTCAGGTGAGACTCAAAGCAGCACCGGCCCTGGTCCTCCTCTTCCTCTCCTTGCTGCGCCTGTCGGGGCTGCTGGAGAGCTCCGCCCAACTGGCTGCGTACAGCTTCGGCGCCCTGTCCGGTTGGGTGTACCTGCGCTTCTACCAGAGGCACAGCCGGGGCCGCGGGGACATGTCGGACCACTTCGCCTTCGCTAGCTTCTTCCCGGAGGCGCTGCAGCCGGCCGTGGGGCTGCTGGCGGGGCTGGTGCACGCCGCCCTGGTGAAGCTGAAGGTGTGCAGGAAGATGGTGAAGAGATATGACGTGGGGGCGCCCTCCTCCATCACCATCAGCCTGCCAGGGACAGACCCCCAGGATGCAGAGAGGAGGAGGTGAGTCACATTCTGTTCTTAGTCATCTCATGGAAAGGGTGGTTGTGTATATTGGTGCATTAAATGTATGACACTGGTCTGTTACAGTCTAGTAGAGTTCAGGTACCTCCATGAGCCTTTGCATATGGTTTATTTGACCTTTACAATAATCTTCATTAAAGCGTTTAGTATAAATGGTAGATTAAAGGGGCCCTGTTATGCTCATTTTCAGGTTTCATATTTGGTGTCTCTACCGTGACATATCACATGCTTTAATGTTCAGAAAGCTCTTTATTTTTCTCATACTGCCTGTGCTGCAGCATCTCTGTTCACCCTCTGTCTGAAACCAGAGCCCAATCTGCTCCGATTGGTTAGCTGGCCGACTCTGTCGTGATTGGTCAACCGCTTAGAGAGGTCTGGTGCCATAGCCTATCACGTACACTGTGTTGGAGCGCTAGTCAATTGAAGCGCGATGGTTATAACTTTGTCGCGGAAGTAAACAAAGGAGTCCAATTAAGGCTTTTCAGGCAGGGGGGGGGGAATGTGTGGGAGAGAAACTCCCTCTAGTGGGAAATTGAGCATTTTAGCCTTTGCAGCCCATTTCCACACACAAAAACCTACATTATAATTATACAAATAATGCATTTGATTTATATAGGCGTCTTTCCAGGCTCTCAAGGTCGACGTATATAACACATTAGAGGAAAGGGTAAACCCAAAAAAGCATAATAGGGACCCTTTAAATGCTCTCTCTATGGCAACAATATGTTGCTGTACCAATAAATACATTGCCTTCAAATCTTTTCATGCGGTTCCAATGAAAGAGTAGTCATCCCTCATGATCTAAATGTTGATTCAGAAGTTGTTGATACTGAATACTTTCAATTTGAGTAAATAATGATCATGTTCTATTTCATTAATGTCGATAAATACAAAATATTGTTGACTTCTAACATTTTCCCAATAAGGGTCATTAAGTAGCTGTTCTGGGGCTTTCTGTGATGTCACATATTGTTCAGCAGTGAAATATTGTTTAATGATATAATACCATTGCCATCAGAAAGAAACATCATGCACAGAATGCACACAAGGATCCGTGACTGATATAATAAATACACAGACATCCATATAGCCAAATACTCCTAGAGGAGACGAATAACAAAAGCAGTGTATAATTAACTGAGGTGAAGTTTGCTGAGCCTCTGTGCTCTTTTCCAGTCATACTCCTCAAACAGATCATGCATACACTCTTAAACACACTCACTAATCTCTCTCGCTGTCAGAGGTTACAGTCTATGGCCTTTCCTTCTGCTCCTTTGTCCAGCAGACACACTCTCAAGCTGTCACACAGATTCAGTTACAGATCTCTCTTTCACACTAACACAGACCTGCGCCCCTGTAATTGTCACGGGGTAATTTGATACTTTCAACCAACTCTGTCCTTTGTGGCAGGATGTCCCCTTTGTGTTTCCTGTCTATCTACACTGTCCCGACTGAACATTAAAAGCCTCTATTTATCCATCTTCCATTCAGCATAGCCATTGAGCCCTCCTGCTGCACATGCTTAAACATCACATACATATTATTACACATTTACCCAGAGACCTGTTGAACTTCATAGGCTCCGGTCTGCATTTTCTAGGTAGTGTTCTCTTCCTCGGGTATGACACATGAAATATGGCTGCCGCTGGAAGAAACCATCTATACATGCTTTGTTTTGATTTGCTTTGGATTAAGAGGAAGGCCTTCTGCTGACTGGCTAATTAACCTCATGGTGATCATTTTCAATGTCATTGTTACGTCTCCTAAATAAGGCCATTCAATTACTTTTAACACTAAAACCGCCACAAACAGGCCTCCCTTATTCTGTATGATTGAAAGACGAGAGGGCTGATCTAAGGACTATTTTAGTTATTGATTAATTTTCAGATTATATTTTGGCGCCGGTGATGATGGCTGCCGTGTCTTTGGTTCCTCTCCAACTCTGCCCTTTTTATGTTTTATTTCAGTGTTTTATTTACATTTTTTTGTGTGCCTTGTCCGATTTGGTTATTATATATTCATGTTACATTGTGGTAGGAGCCTGGGACTTTCATTGCCATATCTACACTGTAGCTACTGTGCATATGACAATAAATAAAGCCTTGAATCTAATATCAAAACATATAAAAGATCATCTAAACTGTATATTCAAAGAAGAATTCCAATATTCTTAAAGTCCAAGGTTTAAATGTCCTGTTTTCAGTCCAAACCCCCCCAAAATGTGTTTATTATGATATAAAACAATATAAAACAAACCTTTTGTATTTGAGGGGTTGAAATCTGCATTTTCTGCCATTTTAACAATCCGTTGCAGCTCAAACTAACATCTCTCTTCCCCTCCTTCCAGACAGCTGGCTCTGAAGGCTCTGAACGAGCGTCTGAAGCGCGTGGACGACCAGTCGGCCTGGCCCAGCATGGACGACGAAGACGACGAGGAGGACGACGAGATCAGGACGGACACGCAGCCGCTCCTCCCCTCCTCCTCAGGGGGACCTGCCGGCGCCTCTCTCTCCTCCACCTCCTCATCCTCAATGTCACAGAGCAGCGGGGGGGCGTCCACGGGCGGAGCGCAGCACCCCGAGTCCAGCATCATTAGCTTCGAGGACGCCCCTTCTAGATCGTAACAAATTGAACACGCTGCGTAGAGAAACCCTCGCTCTTTGACTCCAATGACAGTGAGAGAACACACACACACACACACACACGCACACACACACACACACACACACACGACCAGCTCATACACACGGCCGTGCGCTCACAAACACACTGTTGGTAACTGTATAGTGCTTTCAGTTCAGACATGTTGTAAATCTCAGTGTAGTTGGGCAAACTGGACCCTCAAATTCTTCTCCTTCTTCCTGCAAAGACGAGCAGAAATGCTGTCTTTTGTGGAGTTAAGCTCAACTCTCGGTCCTCTGCTTCATGTCTCTTTCTCTTGCTTTCTAAATAAATAACAAAATGGGTGTACAACATTCTTTTTATAGTTCTTTTTCGGAGCAGCCGTAGTTGTTCTCTGATTGCCTGAGAAATGCGTCAGTGACAAACACTGAATTCTTGTCAGACGGTTGACCCTAAGGAGCGCTCACTGGGCCTTGAAGCGTACCCAGGTGTGTAACGGAGGAAGTATGAAAAGCACGTACTCTGAGATGTGCTGCCCGGAGGACAGAAGCTGCTGCAGGTCTGTCCTGCTGAAAAACTATGATACAAAACTTCAAGATTTTGAAGAGGTGCCAGATGAGAGGAATCCAGACCAGGTTCAATTGCTTCCTGGTGTGTCTCTGAAACAACAGGCCGACAAATGCAAAGCCTCCCCAAACCTTTTTTGATCCCGTTTGTTGTTCAGTGGAGAAAAATTCTGATATATTTTTTTTTTTCAAAATCAAAAAACACCTTTTGTTCCTGTAAACAAACAAGATACGTGAATGGCGTTACCCCTACACACAGATCTGTTGTGTGGAGGTTTTACGAGTTATACGTTTTAGGTTCATTTCAAACATCCTCTTGTTCTGTTTTACACTTCCACCGTCTACGATCTGAAATGACACAAGAATCGTCAATAGCTATTTAACTATCTGAGTGCATGTGATACAGAGGGGTCTGTCGAGATTGTGTGCGTCATTTGCAGAGACGGGCAGGAGAAGGGTAGAGATGAGGCGTGATGGTCATGCAGGTATTTACAGAGTAGCAGATGTAGAGTTTGTATCTGTGCTGTCACTTGTTGTGTCTCGAGGATAAACGACTGCGCAGACATTAAACAGTAATCAGCCATTTCCCAACAACGTCCTTTGCATTTATAACATCCTGTCATTTCTAAACCTTGATGCCAAACAGAGCTGGTGGTGAATTATTTTCTAGGGAGGTTGACTGGCAGCTAAATTGTCCCATTTAAAACGCATCATAGATTCTATGCAGATCAAAAAGGTCAGATGATTTATTCATTTTGTTGACGGTCATCGCTGTAGATGTCGCCGCAGATTATACTAACGTTCAAGCCATTAAATTCCCAATTTCCCTCCTGTCCTCGTCGATTAAAGTCGGAAGCAGCCAATACATTATTTCAGCTGTGCGATCACGGTGATGACAAATCTTATAAGTTGTGATGTTCAAAGTCTTCCTGGGACAAAAGTGGATTATTGACAGTCTGACTAAGGTCATTTGTCTTTTACTTCACAAAGCATCCTGGAAACTAAAACGGTTTGATTTCAAGTACCATCATCACCTCAGTAAGTCATCAGAAGCATTCCAAATTACTAACATTAAATCTGGAGAAAAACAATTTTAATTTAAAGTTTAATACATTTTCAATCAAGAGGAGTTTTGTTTTTTATTTCTAAAAATCTAATACGTGTTATTTATTGCAGCGGCCTTACTGATCGTTTTATTTGTCACTAATTGAGTTGGCATTCATTTAAACAAATAATAATGAACAGAAGACAGGTTTTTTTCTGCCATGTGTTGCCCTCTATTATAAATGTCCGACCCCTGTTCACCCGGATATATTGGCCTTTGATCTGTAATGTGATTTTGGGATGGTTATTTGTTGATATCTGATTATCGAGCAAATGGTGTTTGTAGTGGTAGAGGATATATTGGTATGTGCGGGGAAATGGCGGAAAAGTCTGATTCCTTGACTTGATCATTTTGTAGTTTGGAGTAATAGCATCACAAGATTAGTTCTTGACACATAGTGCCCTCTGACTCAATGTGTTGACGCTACAATGCTACCAGTTAAGGAACACATGCTCCTGGGAAATGGTTGACTTTCTTGACAACAAACAGTCACGTTCAAACTTTCAACAGCTTCCATTTTGTCCCCTTTAGATTTCCAACCCGTGCTTCAGTTTGAATCTGACAGTGCGCTCCAGATGAACAATGTGAAATACGGCAAATTCAGATGAAACATACGGTTTGAACTCTTAGTTTAGCATTGAGAAACGGTTGCTTTTCCCCCGTATGGAAAGGTGTAATGTATGGGAAGTGATAAGCCATAATCGAGTGATGTGATTCTGTGTGTTCTGTGTTTCTCCTTCTGCTCAAGTCACTCTGCTCTTATTTTGGCAACAAGATGTTTACGTTGGTGTCTACGCTTTAATTAAATATGAATGAGGTATTGATATAACTGAATGGACAGAAATGAAAGACGGCTTCAGGTTGTAGAAGGCAGAGCTCAAATGTCTGTAGCAAAGTAGCAAGGGTGGAAAAGTGTCAAAACTAATTACAGATTTGAACCGCGCAATGACAGTTTTATGGTGTCATCTCACCTTTTTTTAATTGCGAGTTACTCGGTTTGGCTTAGCTGCTAGGCTTGCATCATACCTTAGAGTCAGCAATGCAGTGAAACACGTTCTTACATGGATGCCAACGATGCAGTTGTGTAATCCGGTGAAGTTGTGTAATCCGGTGAAGTTGTGTAAATGAAGCGTGTTGGAATGCTCTAGTTGGCAGTCAGAGGTTTCATTCAGCCTGGCCACACCTCCATACCTGATCCCTTTTTTCTTTCTTCCTGTATTTACATTTGTTCTGGCTGTAAACATCCTCAATGAGAAGAAAAGAGACAGACTGTCAGTTTGAATAATGCCAATTTACCGTCGCTCTTGAAAAGTAGAAGAGCTACAGGCGAGGATAATGAGTGTGTTGTCGTTTTAGGTTATAATCAAGCACTTTTATTGCTGGAATTCAATGTGGTTAAAGACACGGTTTATAAGTGTTTGTCCTGTACACTAGTATCTTGTCATTATTAAAGACACACCGCAGACAGGAAGCCAATTTGAAACCCTTAATGAGTGCTTTGGCAGCTTTACCCAGACAATTCGATTCTCCCTGGATGGTATCCTGTCAAAGTGGCCAATTAAAGTCCAGTTTCTCTTATCATTTTTTGTGTAAACTGGAAAAGAAATTGTTTTAATGACACCGCCGGGGAGAAAACAGCTCATGGACAATTTACATTTCAAAGTTGCTAATTTGCTTATTTTTGAAAGGCTGGCAACAAATATCCTATTAAATCTAATTGTTTGGAGACTTTGGGGAAACATCTTGTAAATGAAAGCTGTCCTCCTGCCCTGAAATGAATGACATCATATGAGACTGCTCTGTGTGTGTGTGTCCTGTTGGGAAGGGGGGGTTCATTCACAGCAATGTTTTACTTTTATCAAATAGTTTTCACTACTTCCTTTTCTGTCCCTACTTTTGCACCAACAGATCGTGTTCATACTAATGACAGGCGTTCTCTCTATCTATCTCTGTTGCACAGACTTTTCTGTTTTGGTTTTCAGATATTTGACTTTATCTCTATATGAAATAAAAGACGATTGTATGAAATAAAAATATGTTTTTCATTATTTTTTGTGACATTTCCTTCTGTGGATGTGATTTGACATTAAAGGTGGGCTGGATAGTGGTGGGATGATGTGACCTGTACAATCCTATAAGGAACCTTACAGAATGATCTATAGGAGGAAATCCAAGTGTTCTACCAGATCTTGAATATGCATACAATTAGCATAGCAATTACTCATATCATGACACCCTTTTGTCATGTGTCACTGCTGACTATTAGGGTCATTCATAATTACAAAAATATTTTTAATTCAGACATAATACTCAACTACCTACAGTTTTCAAGGTTTAGAATAACATTTCTATTAATCAATCTAAATTAAATTGTTTTTTAAACCCAATTTATTCGTCAATGTATGGCATGGTATAACACTTTCAAGGGTACAGTATTTGTTTTATCATTCATCAAATCAAAAGTGAAAACAGGAAAAAGGTATATGCAAATAGCCTTAATCAATTTAGTGAACTTTATATTACGACACATTTTACTGTACATGGATGTTTCATTAGACAAACGTATTAAGTGTTGTGCACATAGTGTTTTATAATTGTATTTTACTATATAATATTAAATAACATGTTATCACTGACCCTACATGTAATAGTATTTTTTTTGTTTGTAAATGTGTGAGTAACTTTATATTGTGTACAACTTCCCAGATTGGTAGTATAGTAAATGCATAACATTGTAAAAATACATGTGTAAGAGTCTAAAAATGTAGTAGCAAAATAATTAGTATATTTTCTCTTTGAGATGTAGTGGAGTAAAAGCATAATGTAGAATGTTGGAATTGTACTTAAGTACAGTAGTTAGGCTACTTAGTTAACGTTGGTTACATGTTTCTATTCGTTTTATTCTCTTTTATATTTCAGGTGATTTCTCCCTTCGTTTCTCTGAATTTGATGAGTTACCTCATCTGTCCGCCAGGTGGGGCAGTAACCACAGTTTTCTCATGACTGCAGGCAATACAACGAAACAACGTTACAGTGTTGGCCAAGCTTTAATTGGCTCAATTAACTCTGATTGGGGGAATAACACAATTTACTGAAAACGATATGTGTCTCATAAGGACATAACCCCAGCATTTTGTAATGGATAAGTACAGTGTCCATTATTATGTATCATTTGTTTTTACAGAAGCTAAACTAAATAAGAGTTTAACATGGGACAGCTTACTAAAACAATGCCAGTGGAAGCCTACTTCAGATATAAGGAATTATTTACAGTAACTCATGTTGGACCCAGGTTAATATATAAATAAAAACTTCTAAGAATAACTTTTTTTTTTTTTAAACCCTTACATTTATAAAGTTATGTTGGAAGGTAAAACAACACCCTGCTGTTACACACTCTAAAAGTTGTGAAAATGTCACGTCTGAAAATAGACAGCGTTTATAGCTCGCCGTTACCTTAGTTACTAATTTCCATACAGTTGATGAGCCGGTAACTCTGCTCGTACACCTCGTGCCCGCGCAGGTGTGGCTCTCAGGCTCGTGCCCGCCACCCCTCCCCCCAGCTACAAACTACAAACCGTGGCTGCGCGCTCCCGTGAAGTAATTCATTGTATCAGATTGAGACGGGAGGAAGAGCGACTCGACTGGTCGGCAAAGCAACTCTGCTCCGGGAAACATTGTAACTCCGACTGCAAGCCACATACAACTGCAGGTAAACTACTTTCTGGAATACCAGACCTTTATAAAGTGCTTTATATCTCGTATTGTAAAGTTCTAAAGCGGACGGGAGTATTTTTAAAAGTTGTCCGGAGCTTTTAGAGGCCGTGCTAGCGAGGCTCAAAGCTAGCGAGGTTAGCTAACGTTAGCGTTTCCCCTAACCGACCTCGATTTCAAGCCGCTTCCGCACTTGCCACACACACTCATGCTACGGAGAAAACTGCTGTATTCTCAGTGTAGAAGCTTCTCTGACTGAAACACCATGGCCAGACTACACCATGGGCTTTTATTCATCTGTGATAACTTACGTGATGTTTGCAAATGTAACCGGCAAAACTGGCCTACATTGGCGATCCAACCATAGCCAAACAATGAGGCTCTTTTCCTGACTTGCCCGGCTGACCAGGCGGCTTCCCAACCGCTCAGATGTGCCTGCTTAAGGTCGTTTTTTTGTTAAAGTTAGACGTTAATGTTTTAGTAACGTGACAATACTAAGGAACGGATAAAGCACCATGTGCCTTCTTTAAACACCAAAGCAGTATTTTCTTGTGTTGTAGAATTTAGGACATGTCGGTGACTAAAAGGCAGTCTCTACTTTATAGTGGCGTTTAAGTTTTTCTAATACAATGTTTTGTTATTAGCAGTCTTTCACTCTGAGAAGTCATGTGGAAAGTATATACGGGTCTATGTATTTAGTTTGGATCGGGGCCACCCACCCATTCTTCCACTGCGGACACACTAGCCATCTGTTGCCGCTGTGATGACGCCATCTTTCTGGTGACCCACCCAGTAGCTAGCTGGTTTAAAAACAATGTTTGACTAAACACTGGGAGCTCTCACAGGCGAGAAACACAACTTTCTTTTTCTTCTGAGCGATGGGTACGGTGGCTTGTTTCACGAAGCATTAGGGAATGTTCTAACCAGTCATGCTAAAGTCTTACATATTTGATCTCCTATGGCTCATGGTTACTGATCAAATGATGTCACTTTTTTTATATTCACAACGCTCATTGATCATACGACAGTATTCTGGCTGTGAGTTTGTAATATTTAGCAGTAAATCAAAGTCAGAGATATTAGGGAAAACAGCACTAATGTCCATGCTGTTCAGACTGGTGGATTCATTTCTTGTCAATTTCACCCTGACAGACTTAAAGAAAATGTTCTCATTTAAGTGTAAAGCATAGGAGAATACCTTTTAAAAGCCAATTCAACCAGAAATAAAATGGTATTTCATAGCACAGTGTCATAAAGATATATGACACACACACACACATTGATCTAAATAGGGATTTATAGCAAGCAGACGAAAGATGGTTTTCCCAATTTTAATTGTTGTGGCTCAGTCAATCTTTTGGTATTTTTTTCTTACTGATTTAATTATTAATTAATTATTCAAATTAAAATCATAACCTCTTTACTGTAATGAAGGGAGATAATGTTGACTGTTGACGTCCAATTTTGTTAAATGGCCAAATTTGGCCCAAATCAATCACTGTCAGCTGCATTGTATTATAAGTGTGTCCCTGTTGCTATGTTTAATCTTATGGATCTACTTGTTAAGCTATTCAAGCGGTTATTACAAATATTAGATAATATATTGTGAGCCGATTGCGCTTATTAACAAGGATCTCAATGATAACACAGGTTGTTTGGAAGAATCAGTGACATTTTCTTTTACGGTCAGATAATTCAATGCTTCTATTAGCAGTATGATCAATCTGGGTGACTTTTAAATAAAAAATGACATGCATGCTGTAGCATTCATCTTTATCATGTAGATAAGACGGGTTAGCCAACTGCCCTGTTTGGGTGCATACAACACTTACCTCAAGGGCGATTGTATTACCATTGTGTGTGTGCTGCACACATTGTTAAAAGAACATTCTTCTGTCACAGTTATGGATATATTCATAATGTTTCCGCCCACTTAAATGCATGTCAGGTGGCAGACGAAAACCACCTGTCATGTTTCTGTCAGAAACTGAAATATTCATCAGCCAACAGTCAGTGAACCACCACTAAGCCGGGGCTAATTTTCCGCACTTATGAATGCGTGGGGTATTTCCTGGCATAAACGCACACAGGCCTTTTGATGCGACTGTTGCCTGTGCGGGGTTTTCTAAAGAACAGGCTGATGAATCATGAAGTGCAATAAAGCTTTGTCATACAATATAACAATGCAGAATCTATAGTGTTTCTCTTAACACTTTCTTCAGCAGCGAACATGCCATACAATTGATTCATTTTTGATGGAAACTGGTTGTGTGGACACATGAGTGGGTTTGACTGGCAGGCCTGCTGTCTCAAATGTTGTCTGTTTTAGCTTGATAGCGGCTTACTTAACAATCCCAATAGACGAGACCTCTCAAACATGGCATTCCTTTGAATAGTTGCGTGGTTTATTTAGTCAGGAGTATTCCCTGTTGCTCTCTCTGTATCTATCCTAATCTGTTAATATGCTCCTGTTCGGTTATCCCTGTCTGTCTCTTAATTTCTTCTCAGGGTCTCTTTAGCTAGCATGCAGGGTGGGGTGGTGATTTGTAGCGTTGTCCTTTTTATCGACCATGATTACAACTTACCAGGGGATTAAATTGGATTTGAACTCAATTTGATGTTACTGTGACCATTAGCCTAGTCTACATAAACAACCTTTTCCTTTTCTTGGTGTATGTAAACATTTAATATCTATTCACCAATGAAGACAGACAGCTGTGCTGTGGTCTGCAGGCTGTAGTTGGTGTTACATCTCTTCACACGTGCACCACTTTAATGCTTGACAAGCCTGTTTAATATGTTGGCTTGGCTGTTGGCCAAAGTGTCTGGCAGACTAACATATTAGCAACATCCCAAGATGATGTGTGTGGTTGGTGGTAGCTTTACATTGTGTTCGTTGGTGTCATGAAGCTGCAGGCTATGGTTCCAGAGTTGGGAGCGCTTTCACTGGAAATATATTTTAATTTTAGAAAAGGAACCGTTAACATTTTCAGATGGATTTATTTGTATTCCAATTTGTCGAAAACTAGCCAAATGCAATACATTTTTATCCAGATTTTTGGGATAAACCACTCGTGCATTCTAGGGATGGGAATTTGAAAGAAAATGTATATTCGAATATTCGACCCCCCAAAAAACGGTTAACCGATTAACCGAAATGTACATATCCTATAAAAGAAATGTGGGAAAAAAAATTAATATTTTTATTTTGAAAAATAAACACATGTTCAAATAAGTATAGAAACCAAGTTGAATTTGTCAAATGTATTGAACTGGTGATCAGAGTTTGAACAGTTGACAGCTATAGGCCTACAGCTTTCATGCTTAAAACATAACTTCGTTTTCTGATGGATTTGGACATAAACGCGAGTGAAGTATAACCGGACGAGAGAGAGAGATCAGCACCTGCAGCTCTGCCCGCTGTGAGGGACCGGTGAGCGGAGCAAAACACACCTTTAGACCTAACACATTTAGCTATGGCACTGTCGTATACATTGAATTATTCCATTTGATAATATGTAATCAACTAAGGCACCCTTCCCCAAAAGAAAAAAAATACAATAAAAAATATTCATAACTCATATTCGAAGACCTGAATAATTTTGAATATTCGATTAATCGTTCCCATCCCTAGTGCATTCCTGAAAGAATTGTTCTCGTCTCACAAACCTGACTGGTTTCCCTTAAAATAAAATAATAAAAACAGCTTTTAGCATTGCTGACATTTTGAATACAGTACATGGGAAAAGTTGGCACTATTGAGGTATTTGTTGTGTAGTTTGATGTAACCCCTTATTCTGTGGAACGGTGTCTATGAATTTTCCTGCTACACACGGCGAGTCAAGTGGTTGTTGTCTGTTGGCTACTCAACAGAAATTAATCAGCGCTAGATTATCCTCGCTCAATTTGCTTGCTCCAAAATGATACTTTGCTCATCGTTGTTATTCACATCGGAGTTTGTGCTTCTGCAATTGTATGTTATTGAGTTCAGACAGTTCAGACACAACAGTCTCCGCTGCTAATGGACATTTTCCTGTTGTGCTTTGTCCTTATTGTGCCCCTGTTAAGGGATTTCCTGCCTGATTTTTGTTGGCCAGACATTTTTCTACGTACTGGGAAATTGTACTCTTAATACTGTAAATGATAGAAGCTTCTTTGCCTTATATGAACACCAGATTGTAGACTCCTGTTGTCTGGTAAGCTGCTTTGTGGGAATCATTTGTGGCGCCAATGATTTGCTTATAGGCAGCATTTGTTAAAAATGAGGGCACATTGTTATTTACCCTGGTTAACCCGCTGGTCAAACGTTTCAAGCATTGACCAGACACCAACCTCGAGGCTACAGCTGCCCCCGTTTTTGTCTTCTCTTTTTTCAAATCATGGGGGAATGGTCTAATCTTTTTCGACACTGCTGTCCTACTTTAAGGATTCTTCTACCATTTATAGAAAGCTTGCAGCACCTCACAGTGCTTAAGTGCAATTTAGTGTCAGGAACTAATGGGCCTGAGGGCTAAAAAGCTGTCAAATCTAAGGCAATTTTATTTGGGAGTAATGATTAATCGGAGGTTTTACAGTATTCTTGCCATAAACTCATTAATCATTCAACATATGGGATTACTGGTATGCCCAATGTGCCACAGCAGGTGTGTGGGAACAACATGTTAGCTTTTCACCTGAAAGGTCTGGAAATTCAAACTGAAGCAGTAGAAATGTAGGCAGCTTACAGTAGTGGAAAATGTCAGTTGGTTGCAAACTGCTGTATGGACAAAAACAAATCAAGGGGGAAGGAAGACTGACTGATTGGGGCCAGAGACCCTCTTCCTATGCAAAGCCTGTTTCAGATTAATAACCAGTTTTTAGCAGTGAAATCCTTTTTTACAGAAACATTTAAACTCCTGGTACCCACAGTCTCTATTCAAAGGGGCAAAGTAAATCAAGGAAATAAAAGCTCTAACCTGGGCTGTGATAGCGCCATGTTAAAGCTCCAGAGATCATTTCAGAAAGAACAGGAGCGGCATCGGGGAGTTTGCTCTCTATCGAGCCTCCCGCTGACTCACTGTGAAGGGCATAGCAGACTGGAATACATGATTGACAGCGCACGGTGCTGCACCTTTCCGGATCAAGGAGGAAACAGCCCGTCAGGCGTATGATGTATTACCCTCTCTATATGGGGTCTGCTTGTCCTTGTGCAGTTAGTAAGTACACAGTGCATGGTCTGTGTCAGTGTGAAAGTTGTCTCTGCAGCAGTGCCTCAATGACAAATGAGGTGCGTTTGATGTGCTCTTGGTGAATAAAGCCGCTGTGCCTTTTGGACACAGTTCTTCGTGTATGAAGGGAAATGGCCGCTTCCTGTTTTATGTTGTGATCACATTCTGCTCCTGGAAAAAATGTGGCCCTTATTCTTTTTATCATACACCGGCAAGACTTCAAGAGAAAACGTTAGGCATTTTAACCTAGTTCCTGTGTTTGTGATTTTCAAAAGGAATTTCCTGATACGTAGTGATCGAAGCTGCTTTCAGCCAATGACACGAGACTACATGATTGACATTCATTTGCCCCAACTTCCCTTAACGCTGTTGGGCAAGCTTGTTCTCTTCCACCCACGCTGACACGTCTGCAAGGTTGTTTATTGTCATGAACAACTGGAACTACAGCTGCATTTTTTTACTTCCTCGTAGCTCATGGTGTGCTCTTCTGTAATGACATTTTTATGCTGACACCTGTATGCTGTTAAGGATGGGACAGGAACCTGCAGGGCTTAGACGTGCAAAGATACTTGGGCGGTACTGGTGCAATCTTAAAACGGCTCTCCTATTGTACTTTACTCCTTACTCAAGCTGTACATACTCATCAGCATAAATCCTGATCAGATACTTGATAAAAGGATGACACAGGACAACAGATCTGTCTTCACAAATTCAACCTGCTTTTTTGTATTGAGCGGTCTTAATCTGTTACTCTTACCTCATATGCAGCTAGTCTGAAGGGTGTGATTTCAGGTTTTCTTTTACACATACTGCCTTAAAATAGGAAGTGATTCCTGCTCTCGTGGGGCCACATGTGCATTTATTAAGCCTCGCAGTTTGCAAGTGTTCCTTACCTCAGGGGAAAAGCCATAGTCACAAATATGACATTACATTTCTGTCTTGGCACTTTTTCAGATTCCATTTTTCAAATCAAACCCCCCCCCCTGAGAGAATCTGAACTTCAGGATGAGAACTGCTTTTTTTTCTCTCAGCGCTGTGGTTAAATGTGTTCTGTGAAGTGTTGCATTCGGCACCGGCTCTGTGCAACACTACCCAACACATAGTCTCGCTTACAGGCCACACATGTTGCACACATTTGTATGTTTTATTTGATGTTTATGCATCATATAGGATCATTTGTTGTGTATTCCCCTCGACGACCACACTTTAACAGTTTTAAATAGTCAGTAGCAACAGTTCTGATGGTACTTAATGTCGTGTTTTTCCCGTGGCTCCTTGATCCTAACCTCCTCCTCCGTGTTTTCCTCCAGGGATGGCAGCCATCCGCAAGAAGCTGGTGATAGTGGGGGATGGAGCTTGTGGAAAGACCTGCCTTCTGATTGTCTTCAGCAAGGATCAGTTCCCTGAGGTCTACGTGCCCACCGTGTTCGAGAACTACGTCGCTGACATCGAGGTGGACGGCAAACAGGTGAGGCAACGTCACCGGCCACTGCCGCAACACATCTCTCTTTTAATCTTTCCAATGTTTTGTGTTTGAATCAATGGCTAATTTTCTCCTTGGTGCTTAATCATGCTCCAGCTTTAATTCTACCTTGAGGGCAACGTGTGGATAAAACGCCACTGTTCCATTTTTCACATCTTCCCTCACATTGCAGCCGTCTGTTGCCAAGTCGGGCCTGTTTAAAGAGACTGCTTCCTTTGGGCTGAGTCACTGGCGCTCAGATTGATTGGCAAAATGTTTGTCTGGATTCTGGGTCAGCTTTTACGTTTCTGTGTTCCATCAGAAATGCAGTCAATTGCTATGCTTGCTCACTAACCAGGGGTCTTGAATTGTTATTTATTTGGTTCTATAACAATGCAAAGACGTCCTATGTGGATACACATTGATGAAAGATTACATGCCAAATCTAAATGAATCCTTTATACCCCCAGAACCAGCACATTGTAGGAATATGACTGTTTAAAACATGTATCGCTCAAATTAAGAGGCATTTACTCTCTGGAGTAAGACTCATTGTGGCTTCCAGCTTCGGGATGTACTCTATTTTTTGTAAGCACACAGCTCCAAGTCCTGACCTCATTAATCGGGTAATGGGATCCTGGGATTTTGAATCTTTATTGGCTTTTTGGTTCTAACCCTTTTTGCTGCTGGGGTGGACTCTGACTACTTCTTGTCAAGTGTCAAACTCTCCAAATCTGGTTCCTTTTACCCGATTTAGCTTTGCAGTCTGCTCGGTTTTTATTTGTCAGCTTAAGACCTCTTGACTCTTGCAATAAATGACTCACTTAGAAAAAGCGTCACATTTGTCAGTTATTTTTTTATTATTATTGCAAAACAGGACCACCTTTTTAATGAACATTTTACCAGCATTACAGAGATGCTCCACCAATACAAATGCATGACTTTCTGATTGAATCTCTTTTGTTTAGACTTGTAATTCTTGTTCCTATCATAGAATACCGTCCTCGTGAAAATGGGGGGGGAAAGCCCCCGAGCCTTGAGCTCTGCAGCAGGAATCTTGTGATCATGGCGCAATAATTTCTTCTTGTCCGTTGTGGACCTTGTTTATTATCTAATTTACTTTCGGGCTTCAATGTGAAAGTTGTGCTGATCATATTGGACATGGTGTATTAACTTTAGTTCTTCCCCTTCTCTTTGTCCTTCTCCTCTCCATGTGTGTGTGTCAGGTGGAGCTGGCTCTGTGGGATACTGCGGGTCAGGAGGACTATGATAGGCTGAGACCTCTCTCCTATCCAGACACTGACGTCATCCTCATGTGCTTCTCCATAGACAGCCCCGACAGCTTGGGTGAGTACAAACCACACCCACACACACACACTCATACATGACATCAAATACCACATTGCAGAGGAACTGCTTACATTTGCACACACACACATACCCTTAGACAAATCGTGTGTCATTCAAGGGCATGCAGCAATGCTGGAAAAGTAAAAAAGTCATCCAGTTCCTGTCCTAATGATTATGAACAGTACTTCTGTGATCACATCAAAATAAGGTGATATAAGCTGAACATTATTATAGGTCCAGACATAAATCGAATGAGAGGAAGTTGCTATTGTAACAAATGACAGGCCTATTGTACTAAAGCTTGTAATCAAATCGTTGCACATGACCATTTGTCAGACATTCAGCTCCCCTTTGAAAGCTGTGCTTTTGCTGACCATGCTAGATTTGTTTTACTTGATGCTCAATTGAGATATGGAGGCTCTTTTTATGTTTTGGGTTTTTCCCCCTGTCTTCGGTCACAAAATTATCTTTGCAGTCACTCACATTTTAAATCAAATCAAAATGCTGCCATCTTGTGATTTAACTCTGTTAACTCATTTAAAGATAAGGCTAATTGCTGCGCCATCAAAGAGCTTTAGTGCGAGCGCTCCGTTGTCAGTGTTTCAATGTGGGTTTTCAATTGTAGCAACAAATGATACCAGCATTTCCTACGAATACGTGGGATTATTTACATACTAATTAAGAATGTCTTTATGGAGGCATACACGGAGAGGCAAGCGTTTCCGCCGGTTAAACGTGTTTGTGCGTTTAGGGGCAGTGTGTCTCCACGCTGCACACCTCGGAAAAATGTATCATTGCATCCACGCTTCTGATTCGTCAACAGACTGAAGAGAATGTGTCATAGGATGCATAATAAGATTCAAACTATTTATTACACGGCTAGGTTAAATACTCTATTCTGATTGGTCCATTCATGTGACACGTTGTTAATACAGACCTAATACTTTGCTAATCTTCTTTTCACCATAATGACCGCCAAAAAACATCTAAAACTATTTAACACGGATATCAAAATCATCCATGTTTTGTTTAAAACAAAATGGTTTTCTTTAATAAAGGCTATGTTGATTCCAATGCATCGAAGTGAGCTGTATAAACAGTGGAATTAAGAGGAAACTATTTTACTCTGCACTAAAGATTGCAAGACTTCAAAGAGATATGTTCCAGTATTAAAGCATATAATGAATAAATAATATTTGGTGTTATGTTTTGTATTTTATATTGTTATTATTGCCCTTTTAAAGAAAACATGCCATATTTTGCAACCCAAAGAAATCAGCAAATTGACGTCAACCATTTGACTGACGCCACCCAGAAACTCTGTCAAATGGCTGTTAGGGTCACTAAGAGTATTTTGGATGTCAGTTAGATAATATCTGTCATAGTTTCTGTGAATATGCTCGATAATGGACTCAATGGTGGCACACGCTATACAAGTTGTAGTACAGTAGATTTTGTAGTGAAGGAATGTAAATACAAATGGGCTGTGAAATACATTTCAATGTGACAACTAAATGACCCTTTATACATTAACACAGAACATGAAACGGCCAATAAATATTGATCTATTGTTTTTCCTTCACAGAAAACATTCCAGAGAAGTGGACCCCAGAGGTCAAACACTTCTGTCCCAACGTTCCCATCATCCTGGTAGGAAACAAGAAAGACCTGCGCAACGACGACCACACACGCCGGGAGCTGGCCAAGATGAAGCAGGTACGAGAATACTTGTCTCCTGTTTCTAATATGTGTGACTCCAAACAATGAAAATAAACAATGTAAAGAGTAGTTAGTCAAATGATTAAATACCACAGCTTTCACCAGTATTTAGTAGCAGTTGGCTTTATCAGCTAGCATTTTCCAGACTTGGAAATGTCTCGAATGTGTCCCTGAACCATATTCTTGGTTTTCTCTTCATCCAATAGGAGCCAGTGAAGTCGGAGGAGGGGCGGGACATGGCCGGCCGCATCGCAGCTTTCGGCTACATGGAGTGCTCCGCCAAGACCAAGGACGGCGTGCGGGAGGTGTTTGAGATGGCCACCAGGGCGGCCCTGCAGGCCCGCCGCGGGAAGAACCACAATAAATGTGTAGTGCTGTAAAATAGCCGACACATTTGGACTGTTTTCAACCCCCGGGGCAACTGTTCCCAGGGGGCTAGGGCTCGAGAGGGGCGGAGGGGGGATTACTAGACGGGAGAGGGAGGGAGAGACGGGGAGAAAAGAGTGCAGTAAATGACTACCGCTGTAAAATGGCTGTTTGTTGGACTGAATTTGCCCTGGGACTTGGGTTTGGGAAGCTTCGATGGACATGGACAGGGGGGGGGGAGATTGGGGGTGGGGGGGCTGACTACCGCTGTAAACCATTGGGCTCTTCATCAGGCTCTTCATCTGTTTGTCTTTTCAACAACATCATCACTTACACTGATAAACACAATAAGGAGACGGCAAAAACTAAAAAGGTCTAGTTTCTGCCTGGATGACTTGACATATGGATAGGGGCAAACGGCACAGTAAATGAGTTCCACTGTAAACAGCCACCAGTGGACTCTTCATCGGGGGTTTCTACCTGGAAGAAGGGGGCGGGCAGTGTGAAGTTAGACGGGTGCTTTAGTTTCCTGGGGAGGATATTTGAACAGCCCCAAAAGTAGACAAATCACCAGTAAACAGTGATCTTCTATAAGCTTGCAGTTTAATTGAATTGATTGGGTTATTATGGGACAGTCAGTCTCATGTGTCGTGGAGCTACATGCTCACATGTCCAGCTCGGTGCCATTTAGTCACGGCGGTCGCTAATCCTGTGCTCGCATTGACAAACCCATTGAGCCGTACTCTTACTGAGGTGACCTGTTACAGAGCCTCTTCATAGTGAATGCTCTGTATTTCACACATTAATGAAAAGTTTGAATTGAGAGAAATGTGTCCTTAGCGCTGGCCTTAATGTAAAACTACTTCCTGTGCATCATCACTTGATCTGTAAATAAAATTGGCTTTCATTGCCACCTGTATTTTATCTTCACAGTGCAGTGTTTCAGAGGAAACGTTTACTCCATATGATGGGCATTAAAGTACCCACACGCTGGTGAATCTACTGGGGTTGGTTTGTCTACTTCAGGATTGTCTTCTTAAATATCAAATTGAAGGAGGCAGGTGATCTGTGTTCCCATTGGATGATGATCTTCATAAGCTGACCAGACTCTGCTGCATCTCAGCTCCCGCCCCTTCCTGTTCCACAGACTGCTGGTGCTCATCTTCCTCTGGTCATAGACCGGGACAAAGAACAAGGAGAGGACAGAACCGTGTTTACACGCACACCACTGATCTCCTTATCTGGGACGAACGACTATTGATTATTTTTCTTTGTGTGCGCATGTTTGAAGGTCAAATGTAAAACAACCTAGAACTCTTGGAGGGGAAATAAAGGTTATCTACAATATACATTTATACTAGTCAGCTGTAGGCAGCAGCCATCTGCTTTAACATGACACGCGTGACACCTTTTTAAAAAAATATATATATATATCCTGTGCATGGTAATGCCAGAATGGTCAAGTTAGGCAGCCAGATAGATTTTTGGGTTAAACGTGCTGAAAATCTGTATCACTATCACAGTGAGCATTTATCACCTGCTGTATGTTGGATCTTTTTTATTTGGGGTATTTTTTAAGGTCTTTCCATTCTAAAAATTGTAAGGGTGTGCAGATATATTTGGGATTCCTCAGCTACCAGCCTTCCTTGACTTGTCTGCGTGTTTAGCCCATTCAGACTCTCTGACAGTTTGTAGCCCTCCTGTTCTTCTTCCTGGCCTACAGGCTGTTCCAGAAACTTGGTCTCGTGTTTTTGTTTTTATACTTTATTTCCTGCTTTTAAAAAAAAGAAGAGAAAAACTCATATGTTGTCTTATCAGTATTTAAAATAGGAGGTGTAAGACTATGGGACTGCTTCTGTGTCGTAGCTTTAGTTTATTCTACTTTTTGTGCTTTACCTGATTTTCTTTTTCTGATGATTTACAATTGGTTGTAAGAACTCGTCAATCATCCCTGCCAAATGCTGTTGTTAGGCAGTCAGGAGAAAGGCTGGCCTCTCGGCTGCCTGTCTAGAGCATCGCCGGCTCTTTTTCTGTTCTTTGTTTAGAACATGGCTGAGAAGACAAAAAGGAAAAACAATGCAAGTCTCCTTATGTACAAATCATTTTTATTTCTACTTTTATTGTATTTTTTAAAATCCTGATTTTTGGGTGCTGAAGCAGTGACGTAACCAGGAACCGGAATACCAAGCTGTATGCAAAGTCTGTAAATATAAAATGTGGGTTTGTTCATACTAGACTATACGCACATGACTGGAAACTATTTGTAAACTAGCTTTGGTTTGTGTAATAAATTACTTTCTATAACACTCAGCTCCTATTCATTGTTGTCTCAAGTGGGGCATGGGGAATGGCTCTTCAAGTTCAATCAATACACATGAAGTATGAATGAATGGTGGATTCATTTCAGACTCCAGACTGAACACACAATTGCTCATAAACTGATAAACAATACAAACATTTTAGAGGAAAAAATGGGAAAGTGTTAAGACTCAAATTAAATACTTACCAACCAAAATAGAGTTTACAATTAATTATTGTTTTAATTTGACTGGTCACGGTTATGCTGAATGTCAGTGCAACATACTGGAATTTGACCACCTTAATGCATCCATGGTTGACACTTAAAATTGAAGGAAGGATCACATAGTGAGTAACATGCAATGAGGGGTGAGTTTGTTGTATTCATGTTTGAAATATACTTTTAACTCAAGCAACTGCCTTTCAAACCCCTTAAAGCTACAACTCCTAATGTTAAAAAACAATGCATTGAATAATGAGTATAGTTATTCGAAATGCAAGCTGAGTGGGTTTTCCATGTTTCCGGTGCAGAGGCCCAGATCATTCTGAAACTGAAATCCCACTGCAGCTCCTTTTGATCAGAGGGACTCCCACGCAGAGCCTTGTTTGATCATTAATCAGTCGCCTAAACACCCTTGTATCACTGAATCCAAGTGCTAGTTTTTAGGATTTCAAATAAATATCAAAGCCCACACCAGTGGTTTTTATTTCAGGCATCTCTTGAGAATGTGAACCTCCTCTTGACTTGTGTTTTAATATGCCAAGAAAAGGCATATAGCAACAGTCTTATCCCAAAATGAACAAACTAAATATGTACTGTTTTCCTATCAGACAGCTTCATTTCAAAGGAAAGTAAATCAATATTGTGTCCACTCATTATCATAAATTAAGTTGAATTAAAACACATACAAATCGGTTAATCAGGATGACTGTTGAAAGGAAAGCAGAAAGCAGCTCCACACCACAGCCTCACTGAGTCCAGTGCTGCAGAGAGAAGTGTGTGGGATGGCGAGGTGAGCCGTTTTTCAGCCTGTGTGGGATGAAGCTGGATGCTGTGGAGTAATATACAGAAGCTTCCACTGGCAGAGAGTGAGGAACTGCTCTATAGCCAATATCAAACATATAGGGAGTTGTATAAGTCACTGCGGAGGAGTGGGAATAAAATGGATGTGTGAGCAGGATGGCACTCACAAGAAGTAAGCACTTACAGTAACCTTTTAGTATAGAAACATATATATTTAGCCTCATGTGCAGCACATATCACATTTTTTTGTGTTAACTTCAATGAGATTCAAAGAGTACATTTGCTGGATTGCTTTGTAGCGAAAAATAGGGCATTTGTCCTCCAGAGAAAACTCTTTTTTGCCCAAATAGCAGCTGCTGAGGCTGTTCCAATATTTCTCTCTGTCTCTTTCCAAAGACATAATAGCAAGCATGATGGAAAAAGTATGTAGAAGGAGAAAATACTAAGAAAAAGATAATTTGATAGGAACAAAATTAAATGTTTAATCTACACATTTGGAGATCAATAGCATTCACTGGACAGGAAGAATATAAAAAACGAATCTATATTAGTAACCATAGCTTTTGGATAAAGTGGTGGAGTAAAAAGAAGGCTACAGATCTTTTCGCCATTGGAGTGGCAGTAAAAAAGTTCAAAGAGTACAAGTAGGCTACATAAAAATGTGTGGGCTACTTAAAGACAGTTTGACTAAATGTTCTTAGTTTACATTAAACTGCTGCATTTCAGTGTTTTCATTAGCAACTTGAATATCATCATGAATACAACTGCTGTTATTCACATTGCTTCACTCTAACAAGGCTACACCCAAATGGTGTCATACATGATATTAACAGATGCTACATGATGCTATATACATCTCTTTCTGGTTAATGGTACACAACTGCCACATAATGCACAACCATGTTGACTGGCTGACACATTACTGGGCTTTGAATAGACACTTATTTAACACAAGAGGCAACTTGTTGGAGCCACAGTGGTTCACCTCAATCTCAGCTTTAGTATTATGGTTGGTTATTCATCACTTATTAACAGAGTCTATGCGAGGGAAGTGACTGTGGCTCTCTGGAGAGACATTCAGAGCGAAACCACAGTCAAAGGGGAAGGAAGGAAGTCCGTCACTGCCTGCTCCACCCAAAACTGGTGGCCGGGCATCATGTAAGACACGCTGCCTCAGTGCCTCTGGTGCAACACTTGTAGAGGAATGAGCTGGAGGGAAGCCGCTGAGGGAGACGACGCTGTTCCCAGTTTCTCTCAGCGTCTCCCCCTCTCTCCCTTCCTCTCCTGCGGCTGCCGGCTGGAGAGGAGGAGTAGCACGCATTGGAGCTCAACAGCCGGCTTTATATACCAGTCTATTTTTAGCCCTTCGCAAGCCCAACTATTTTAAACCAATATGAGCTCATCACCGACCCGAGTTGTCCAATGGGATGAGAGGCAGATGAATAGGCCGTCCAATGGTAGGGAGAGAGAGGGGAGAGGAGGCGGGCCTACACAAGAGCCTATCATCTGCACTTAAACAGACAGCAGTGTGTCAGATAGACAGATCTCTCACTCTGCCGCTTTTCCAAGGCACCACACACTTGTAACTATTCCACTAACCTCAGGGGGACAATGCATTCTCACAGCAGGGGATTTTATCCCAATAAGTTAAACAATGAATATTAGAGCTGTCTTATCATATTAAGAACATATAACATGTTCTCGCTCAAAAAACAAATAAGGACACCTTTTTTTTTGTTGCTCAATTTACACTAACTGAAATAGACAAAACAGGTAAGACAAGGACAGCAAATATACACAAATAACTGTAAATAGTTTACATGTTTTTTTTTCTATTTTAGCTATCAGCTTAAGGTTGTTATGACATGTTGAGGACAATTCCACCCTGTCATGAATTGATCTAATTTAACATAGGGTTCAACATGATTGAGTGAGACCCACATATGTAGAGCCAGTTACAGAGAGAAATTGGGATGACCCCTAAGATTTCCTGTCACTGTGATCATGTATGCTGCTGCATTATTGAAAAATGATGAAAGAAATGCCTGTTTCTACTACTGATGAAAATTCATTTTATTTTTCGTAGACGATCTTTGGGGATGACTTTGAACTGGTAGGTCTGGCTGCTCTGAGGTGTGTTTTTTGTTAAGACTTTGAAGCAAGGCTATGACAAGGATTACCCCGTGACTGTGAGTCATGCACACCCACCTAAATTGCTTCCCAAAGTTTTATTTTTAGACAGTCCGCACCGAAACACAACGCCCTGTGTGACCCATTTATTTCTGTTCCTCCGGTGGGACAAGTTTATAGTCCCAATGACACATTTAACCTAAGAAAAGACTGATTTGTGTTTCCCACAGTTGACCGCAGAATTCATGTATTATTCAACTTTTCAGACTTACTGTGATTACTCAACCACAATACAGATGTTCATATTGGATTGTAGGTTCATTCCCCACTGCCTACCGTTTAGCACCAGTCGCGCTCCCGTCAGCCGCGCCCCCGCACAAAAGGTTCCAACATCCATGGTTCCAACACACCACGGCGGGAGCGCGCAGGACGGGCAGACCCGCTCCCTCCAAAACACCGACTCCACCCTGTCATAAAATTCATCACATATGCTGAAGAATTTAAATCCGAACAATTCCTTGGGATTAAACTTGATTAGAATAAAATGCAAAGGCATCAACTATACTTGACTATGTAAGGCCATGCTACAACAGTATTTTTTTTTTTTTTCTCTATGATAAAATTACAAAAGGCATAGGCCTACCACAGAAAATGTAAATAATTTTAGAGATTAAGACTCGTCACTGAGACCTTTAAACACATTAGTATCAATTGGGTGCATGCTTTAAAAAAGACATAGTAAGAATGTATAGCAACCTTCTTTTAGAAGGACAATCTTAATGGAAAACCATTTGTGTGCTTGTGTCCTGTCAATTATTTGATATGTAGTGATTCAAATGGAACAGAAATATGAAACCGTATACATAGCTTTATATATACAGTCTATGATAAATAGTAATTTTGGTTATTGCTTAATTCTCCTTTATAAACATCTCACTTATTATTTAATTTTCTCACCACCCTTGTAATGAAGCAAAGTCTCTCTTGAAATACAAGTTTTGGCCTGTGTGATTCACAGCAAGTAAGAAGCCAGCAAAATAAAATATTCATTTTAAAATGTCAAACATACTCGGAACCACATTTAATGTAGCCTAACAATTTCCCCTCTCCTCGGCAAACAAAATGCCCCTATCACACACTGACCTCTAGTGAAATAACGCTGTAATTACATCTTTAATGTATTTATAACAAGTTGTTTCTCTTCTTAAGTTACTTTTGCTGTCCTGACCTGTTTTGCTCACTCACAGCGTGAAGAAAGATTTCCAAATTGAGCAAAAAATACAATACACTAATCAAGTCTCGTTAGAAGTTTACTCTCAAGCACATTCTGACGGGAAGTCGACGAGACGAGAGATCTCGCAATCAGGTAAGTGGCGCGAAGAAACGTAAGATGGCAGCACAGCCTCACCTGTGCGGAGCAGAAACTCCTAATATCACCACGCACTGCAGCTTAATTCAGGTAGAGAAGCACATTGCGACGGTCCACAGCCACATTTGGTAAGATTGTGTTACTCCCATCCTTTTATGACAGATGTATGCCCTCTCTAACTATGCAATTGTCTCACAATGACATTAAATATATGAAATAATAAAAGTTTAAACAACCATGTTAGGCTACTAGCTAACTGGTACAGTAGCCCTTAGTCTCACAGAGGCCTATGACCTAGCTTAACAATGTACTTATCATTAAGTACTTGTTATGTATGTGCTGTAAACTATCTCTTAATTACACATGGTAAAAATGTTTAAGAACAAATAAGCCTTTAGTTGTTTCTTCATTGCTGTCTGAAAAGAAGACAGCAAATTGCTCTCCCTCTCGTCTCTAATTAAACCTGTGTAGTGTAGGGGAGAGAATTGATCAACATGTTTGCTTTTTCTGTTCTGCTATAAACCCAAAATGTTCTGGTTAGGTTAATAGTTTCATAGTAGTAAGTTCTAAAAAATGGTCTGTAGACTTATGTAAAATGTTTTACTTGCAGTTAATAGATATATAAATTAGCTACATTTAGTTTTAACATATTAAAGTCTGTGATAGGTGACGTAGTTGGATTGCATCATTCACAAAGTCACAAAGTTGGGTCAAATGTGATTAAGTTGGTTCACTCGTGTTTTTAATGTACTTGTGTTTACTTTTGAATGTTTATTTGGTCAGGGGATTCTGAAAGATTTAAATATATTTGAAATTTAGTAATCATTATTTTTTTTAAGTTTTCTTGTTCTTGTTTGAATCTTATGTTAAACAATTTTCTGTTGGTTGCCTCTTTTTCTTCTGTTACTATAGATTTGTACCATTGTGATAACCAACCCAATACTGTTTTCCAACCACCACTGTGATTGCACTGGTTGGCACAAATGCACAACATGACAACCTTCAGTCATATTTCTAACAGCCTAATTGATGCTTTTTCTTCTCTTTTCCATTTGCATCATCCATCATATCATATACACTGTGAATTGATGACATTAGGGTTCATATCAGCCTGGTGAAACTCAACATAAAGGACAACAAGATCGAAGGAGAAGAAGACAAAGAGCGCTCATTAAATGATGCATTCTCACTCAACCCAGGAAACACAGGGAATGTGGCAATGTCCATGAGTAAATGGACGTGTGTTTGTGTCTCTGTGGCTTGTAAAGAATAGAAGCGGTGAGATCTGAGGCCAGTAATGAGACCAGAGCCCCTACGCTAATTTAACAAATTCGCGTCCCTTGTCAGAGAAATCAGAGGCTTTTTGTTCACCGTTGTTAGGAGTTCATTAGTTGTGATTAACAAGCTGACTGATCAGGAAAAGTTGGTAAAGAGGTTGTAATTATCCTGTCTCCATGACTCGAGAATTTAGGATGTCCATGTTAGCCAGCTTTCTGGCGACAGTTTAAAGTGAGAAGTGTCATTTGGAGATTTTAAACCGACTACACTGTGCTAAAAGCCTGTCTTTTCCATCTTTCTTAGCGATGTGATGCACAGGGAGATTTAAGCAGTAAGAACAACTCTTTTGTTTTGTTGGCCATATATCCCACCACCAAAGAAGAATCTGCATCTGAGGTAGTGCTCTTAAGTGGCTCGTGATCTTTTTTAGGGTTGGCTTTTTAGTACACGGCTAACAGGTCAAATGAAAGCTTTATGAGATGATTGCAGTTTCTTGTTACTAGCAACCACATGATTATAAAACATGCAACAAGCAGCAGCGACTCATAGTGACTCACTGACTCTCACATGTTCAAATGATGACTGCAGCGTCCGCTGTTTCCTGCTTTGATATTGCAATAGTGCCATTTCAAAATATCAGAACCTATTTTTACACTTTTAACCTTTACACAACTTTACTATTCAGGTTTTCCCTAATTTGAAGATCTCAACCTTAACAATTTTAGTTCTCTTATTCTGTATTTTTGAAATAGTTTAAGTGTGCACTTTGCAAGTGTTTTACCACCGACTGGATTAACACATTGGTAACTCAGCCTCTATATTTGCAGTTTCAAACACACAGCTTTTTGTAGGACTTTCTGTTGAATATCATCTGTCGCACAGGATTGGTGACTCATGTTACCAAATAATTTAAATGTATATAAGATCTTGCCATTATGTAAGTTATTTATCTCGTAACATGCTCGTATGTAATATTTGCAAGCTCGCTATTTCTTGCTATTTGGCTGTCTTAGCAAAGTTGTTGTCTTGCTAGTCATTGATCATAAGGAACGTAATCATACAAATGCATAAGTAAAGCTGTCAAATAATAATTACAACAGTGGTGGATAGGTTCATTGCACAAATGTTTGATTGACAGGTGATTTGGGCCACAATAGAGACATTACAACAATGAGCGGTAGACAGCAGAGAATATAACTACTTACTGATAACAATAATAAATGTATATTTGTTGCTCTTAAAACTGAGCAAAAATGTTTTCATCTTTAGGGAATGATACTGAGCTGCACAAACATCTCATGTATTAATCAACATGAAGCTTCATTAGGGGTCACTCTAGCAGGGCACCATTGGAGGAGAACCAGGAAGGGACCTCTTCCTCTTCTTCTGTTAAATAGTAATTTCATTATCCAGCAGGTCTGAGCAGATATGCCCATATCCAATTCAAAGCTGTATACGGCTGTGTAAACAACGCATTACAGAACTTCTAATTGTAATGTTAAACTGCTGGGTCATATTCAAAAAATAATCTTCACTAATTATACAATTGCAAACAAGTGTGGAGAATAAATCATTTACGATTCAGAAATCCTTGGAGATAGTCTATACTTGTTCATTTGCAGGCAACCTAAATTCATTATTTATCCCGGAGAATGAATAAATTGTCCCTGTTAGCCCGTGATTGAACTTGAAGCTGGTGAAAAATGCAGTCACTGCTGCCGTAGCCCAGCGAGCAGCTATCTAATGACAACAACAGAGCGAGAACAGAGGCATGGGCTTTAATTATTGCATCTGGGTCGGGAGTAGAAACGAAGAAACATAATAATGAGGAGGAGGAGGAGGAGGAGGAGGAAAGAGACTCATCGAGAGACTTTGGTACTGAGAATATTCAGGAGAATGTTTGTTTTAGAATCGATTTCATGATTTGACTCATTACTTTTAACGCTCTTCATTGCTTGGCCCCAGTTTCACTTGAGTCTCTTTCCCCAACCTGCTCTGAGGTCCTGAGGCAAGAGCCTACTGGCTTCTTCATGGCAACACTTCTGGAATGATCCGTGCAGAGCTTTTGCTGTTGGGCACCTCAACTCGGATCTGCATGTTTGAACATCTTAAAGGAGCCCTACTACGCTCATCTTCAGGTTCCTATTATGTTCTACTGTGACATGTTTTTCTCCTGCAGCACCTCTTTTCACCCTCTGTCTGAAACCAAAGCTCAAGAGTTAAATATTATAAAGAAACAAATAAATGATAGCAAAGAAAATGAGTGAGTGAGAGTACGGGAACAAGAGAAAAACTGTTAAAGAGAGGGAGTGAGAGCATTAGTCTTTCTCATGTCCACTCTAACTAGGTTTTACTGGAGCAGTGAATAGGGGTGTGTGCCTGCATCTGTGTGTCTGCAGGGTGGCCACAAGGATCTGCGATCTTGCTCCCTCCGCCTTCCAGAGAGAGAGAGAGGGAGAGAGAGAGAGAGAGAGAGAGAGAGAGCAGTCACACGCAGAGAGGAGCTGGGACGAGAGACAGAACAGAAGAGAGCTGTCAAGCTGCGAGGAGGCAGCGGAGAGACGACTTAGTTTTGTCTTGGAATACATTTCCCCTCCATCTCTGAAGCTCACACACACACACTCAAAGAATATAAGCACACAAACACACAGATGGTGAAGTGTGAGTGCTGCTGTTGAATCATTTTTAGGATCTGGACTTACTCAAGCGCGTTTGGATTCAGCATCTTTGGACCTTTTTCTTACAGTGCAACACTTTGGATAAAGAGTGTGTTGAATGCAACAGTGAGATTTTGACTGACACTTTCAGCACTTGGACTCAGTGTGCGTTTGTTTGTGTGTGTGAGGAGGAGGATGTATCGGTTGGTGACAGCGGTGCTGCTCGCCCACCTCGGGGCTTCCTTTACGGGTGCATGGAGGGCATCTCAACCAAGACTGCAGTTCACCCACTCCGGTAAGACACTTTTTTTGTTGCCATCATTCTTCACTCTTACTTAATCTGTCCCGCTCTCATTTTCCAAACACACACCATGCAGGTGACAGGTTTCACACACCTTCTTATGTTTCACGTGTCTCTCTTTCATGTTGGATTCTCGCCCACTAACTGTCATGCGATATCTTGAGCAGAAATGATACCGCTGCCCTTCTGTCCCTCTATTTGTTTTGGTTCTTTCCCACACTCTCTAACTTCCTCTATCCTATCAATCACCTGCATTACATTCATCTATCTCCAGTACTCAAGTTTCGCTGTAAAAGCCTGGTCTTCAGAAGTGACATGAATAATTGAACTACTTATTTTGACTCTCCAACACACTTGCAGTGTTAGAAACTGAGTTTTCCCCCCTAAATGACATCTTTGTCATTTCAATTGGTTACCACAGCACAGTTATGGCAGCTGTCAGGTATATAAGACACCTTACAGCACAGTTTTAGCTTATTCCAATAGGTCTGATCTCAGAGTTATGCCCATTTCTTTCAGGTATGATAACATTTGACATTCCTCAGATCTGGGTATATGGTTACATTGCGACAAAAAACAAGTCAAACAGGTTGGAAACAAGCAAATACTGTAACCAGATGATCCAAAACCACTGTAATTGTAGCCTAAATAAACTGAAATGTTGCTTTTTCTCTATGATTACACAGCAAAACTGTGTACAAACACACTTACAGAAAGTAGAGTGCCTTAAAGTTCAATAGTGAGTCAGGCTATAATCTGAGGTGGATGTTTACAAAGGACAGCTTGTATTAAAGCTTTACTATCTACATATTATCTCTCTACATTTATCACGGGGTTTTAATCGCCTGACTTTTAGTTTCTCGTGCTGTTTAACAAAACTTCAATTTACTGATAGACATAATGAACCAAAGTATGAAAATGTAATCTGTGATCTTATTTAAAGATCTTAAAGGTGGGGTAGGTAATTCACTTCAGAAACACTTTTTGTTATATTCCATGGAATGCTCTTAACATCCCGATAGCAATGAATACATTAAATGCTTTGACAAAAAATACATACAAAAATATCATCTGTGGAAGCTGTGGTACTGTAAAAAGTACGACCAATCATCTGAGCCGGCCCGGCTAAAATAACTGGATGGCCTACCTGCCTGTCAGCCTTCCATCTGTGCACAAACTTATCTCGTGCCCTCATTGGTCATGTGCGCGTTCGTGTGTGTTGGAGGAGGGGCTCTGTAAGGAAGTCTGAAGGTTGTGTATTTTCAAATTCTAGCGCACTCAAAAGCTGGTTTCTCCAAAATGACATACCCCACCTTTAAATGTAGTGTCTTTGAAATATCAATTACAACATCTATGCAGATAGGAGGCCATTTGAATCTAATTAAGATACACATTACATTTTCTATTGGAGTCAAATCAACATCTTTGAATCAATTGAGCAATTAAGCCTCACACCCAAAGACATGGCGACTCATTCATTGACAAGGCAGACGCTCCCTCAGGATTTCAAATCGAGTGTCTATGTCTGTTAGTTTCAGTAATGGCTAACAAAGAAATAATTATCTGATGGCAGAAGTCCCAGATCCTGATCACAACCAAATTAATTATCTCTTGGCCTCAGGCCGATCCGTCAACCGCAGAGAAATCCATGCAGAGGTTGCTGCAGAAACCTGCAGACGCAACAGAGCGGGAAAAGAAAGCCATATTTATTTTTTGACTAAAATACAAAACTTCAGCTTTGTATTCAGCATTGTGGATTGTGCATCGGTATTCTGATGTACTGTATTGTATCTTCTTTTCCTCAATGTCTTTATCTTCATGCACTTGTTAGTTGCCTCTGTGCAGCACGTTGCATAAACACATGTTGTTTAATCAACATGTCGCTGTTTAACAGAAGCAGAGTCAGTAGTTTATGCATGGTTGAATAGAAACAACAGGACCTCTTAAGTGTTCAGCCGTGCCCCACAATCATCTATTAGTTGTTTGCCTTTGTTTTTGACCTTGTTGGTGCAGCAGTGGGGTGTGGTTATCGTCACTGGAGAATAAACTGAAGATTGAACACGTTTCTGAAGCGCTCTGAGATGTCCTGAAGCATCTACTCCTCCAAGCAGGATGGGGTTCAAACACATTGACCCACGTTGAGTGTTTGGATGTTTGGCTATAACAAACGTGTCCGTCAAAAGTCATGAGAAAGCAAAGGTCTGCATCTTCTAATTAAAAAAGGATTTGGGGTTCAATCTTTTGCCCTCTCAGCCATATTTGAAGCAAATCGCCTTCAAATGAAAAGCTGCTTTAAGGTATCCTGGCCTTTAGTTACGGGGAGATGAACTCGTGTCCCTTTAATCATGTTTACCAGAGGACACCGTAGAATAAGAAAGCAACTGATTACACGTTCTTTCATACGCCAAAAAAAACACAAAGGGTCTGTGAAGTGGATGTGATAAGGATGAAGTCGACCAACCGTGACCTAGAAAGTACAGAGAGAGGGAAACCTTGTTGCATTCACCCAGGTGGGAATGTAGCTCTAATGAAGTCTGAATGAGAAATGTGAAGAGCTGCTGAAGTAGCTGCATATTGTGTTTGTCAGCATGTGTGTGTGTGTGGGGTGTATGAAGTGTGTGAGCTTCAATTGAGCAGTTTTAGGTTCCAGGATCTCTGCCCACCTCAGCCTGGGAAGAGAACAAAAAGAAATGTGTGATGTGATGATGTGTGCAGTGATTCTGTTCACCATCATGCCTGTGTGTGTGTGTGTGTGTGTGTGTGTGTGTGTGCGCGCTCTCCCTCTCTCTCTGTGGGAGCTCCATGCTGTGGTCATTTCCCTTCCCATCTCTCCGGAGGTTTTCCTCAGAAAGAGGGAGGAGATTTTTGTCGGGGAATCGCTGTAATTACCGAAGGATTTCAGCTCAACTTAAACACTTTGACTCGGCGGTTGTTTGGCAGTTCAGAGACACTCATTAGGATGTTCCTTGATCTGTTGAATGCATAGCTGACAACCACTGTACAAACGGCAGAAACACATTAGTAAATCTGCATATTTAGCAAACAAGGATGTTCATTTGTCACATCACTGTAATAGTGTTGCTTTACTCTAATTCCTGCAACGATTCTGTAAAACTGGTCAATGAATGCATGATTGGACGAAAATTGTGCTCTGTAAAATTCTGCTGGCAAAAAAAAGACTGTTTAGCAAAATGTTGCTGATTTTCACATTTAGATTTCCTGTACCGGCTGCTCTGGCCACTCTGCTTTTAAAGCATGTTTAAAACCACACTGTAGAACGTCTGAAATCCATCAAGCTGAAAATTATGCTTTTTTGACATGGTTACGTTTCACCTGCCAGCACTTGTAAACTATATTCCTTTCAGTCGTTACGGTTGAAACATAAGACTGAAGCTGTCCCAAGTCTGCGCTGCTTTCTTAGTCTAACAGGGCTTTAGGTATGAACTGAATTCACTCTGGAATGGACAGATTTGATACTCACTTAGTCAGATGTCTGTATGCAGACTATATTCACTTTGTAATTCTTATTGATTCCGCTAATGTCCCAGAATGCAAAGCCCAACAGATGGAGAGGCTGCTCACATCTGGAAAAATCTAAAAGAAACTTGTTGGTAAAAATCAGAAAACGATAGGAAGCTGCCTGTGACCAACAACGTCACAATCCATCCATCAACAGCAGCTGGTAACACGCCAAGATATGCTGTGATGCACCTGCAAAGACTGCATTGTGTAAAGCTTTGTTTTTTGGAGTTACAAGGAAGTATGTATTTCAGTTTTCCAACTATATTGGAAGAAGAATATATTGAAGTAGAAATGTGCCATGAGTACATTTCTGCATATTGGCTGCCAATCACCCCAGATGGTACTAGAACCCACAATCCCTGGCTTAGGAGGCCTGTGCCTTATCCATTGGGCCACTGGGGCTTTTGACAGACTAAATTGACAAGTTATGTCAACAAAGACTCAGTGCAAACTCTACGCCTGCAGAGAGTAAACAACTCTGGCAGAGGAAGTTGTCATAAAAACAAACTGTTACTATACTACCATTAAACTAAGCCGAGCTTGCCGACCACTTTGACACCCTCTCACTCACGTCCATGCTTCATTCATTCTCTAGTGTGAACATATCCATGAAAATTAGATGACATTAAAATGAAAATTCATATATTTGTTTTTTCTCATGTCCGTTACACTGCTTCGCTTAGGCTCCATCACTCGTTGGACAGGGCCGAAAAGTGCTGACGGTGCAGAAAACAGTTTGACAGACACTCACTTACGGCTCAAAATTGGCCGACGTCAGATAATCGGATTGGTGTGTTAGGGCCTTTAGTCAGGTAACACAAAGAGAGCCAGACAACCCAACAATCTTTGTGATATCCAGACCGGTTAACTATGCAGAGTGACTACACACACAGATTTAAACATGTTAGTTAGTCAGAAAGCCCCTAACAAACAATTACCCTGGGTTATAGGCCACCTGTGTCTACTCTACAAGGGGCGTAGAGTAAGTATGTTAGCAGAGCGGATGGTGCTCAGTCTGTAGGTTCATCTCAATGTCCCTCCTCGACTCCTCTCTCCCCCTCCTCCGGGACTTGACCCGGAAATCGATCAAGACACGCCATGTTGAAGGACGTCCCCATTGCTGAAATGCACACGGAGGAGTCGAGGAGGGGTCAGGGAGGAGGCTTCCAGAGGAGACGAAAGCGAGGATACACGAGAGCAGACTACGCGGAAGTGTTTTCACTACTCGCGTATAAAAGCCCCGCCCCCACCTTCACAGCCTCTGCTCACTGCAGCTGATCTTACCGTTAAAGGAGGATCAGAGTCATTAAATGTTTAAAGTGCTTCATTAAGAGTAAAATATATTAAATATCTTAAACGAATGAGGAGATCATACTCTATAAAAACATTAAAGTGTGTGAAATATACTTACAAATTCAATGATAATGTTTTGATTATAAAACAATAACTTACAGTTCTTACTTGTGGTTTTG